AWTTGCAAAACCTGCTACCATATTCARTATCTTTARAAAGAATCTGAAATGTAACTTGYCCAATATAACTAGCTCTCCKTTTTATCCAAGAGTTASAGAATGGCAGCTCTCRRTCTCAACCTCATTGTAGAATGAGATTGTAACATTGAAACCGTTAATTCTATGGCACAGACCAAATGACTGAGGATGTGACAAGGGATGGAAGACCTCAGCATAGTACTGGATAGAGCTGAAAGTGGTTCACTGACCTTAAGTCAGCAGGCCTACAGCCCATAAGAAATTTCCCCAAAGGCAGAGGCTGGAAATGGAAGCTGGGTACACTCTTTGCCCTTTCACTCAGGCAGTGGCTGCTGCCAAGTGACCCTGCTCTGTGGGCACTACAGGGAGAAAGGATGGAGCTTTTCTTAAAAAGAGTCACCCCTCTTGAAGACCAATTGAGTGTGCAAGAGGAGCTAATAAAATAATTTATTAAAAAGACTTGAGCAGGAAGTTTTGCTCTGTGGTTTTCCTTTATATGCAGAAGTCCAGTAGAATCCAAACTTCACCAWAAATTAACTTATCACCACAACCAAAGAAGCCCAGCCAATTAATTGCATACCCTAAAATTTTACATCAAATTTTCAGCATCAGCTACATAAGTTACAAGCTGAAGAGACCTCTCTGACAAAAGCATTTGGGTAAAAAATTTGATGCTGGTTATGTGTCTATCAGTCTCATATTTAATACTCGTGCCATCAGGGATTTTGCAGATTGTCAGAGAGGTCATCCAGGAGCTTGCACAGAAAAAGATGAACTGATATTGAGCTATTAACTAATATTAGAACTATGCGGTTTAAACTGCATAGTTCTAATTCTAATTATTGGTGTCAATGGGTATCTCAGAATTGGAGGAGAATTTTTAGAGGCATGAATATGCTAGGACCTGTGGAGTTTCAGAAAAAAACATCTTTAGAAATAAGGACGATATAGAAGTAAATAGAAGCACACTTAGAAATTGRAAAAAAAAGTATAACCAGGTGATGGAAATTTGGGTTTAGATAGTAGGTATAGATTTACCTGTATCTGTTTACTGGGAAAACACATAGGAATATTTGCTAATGTTTCATTCTATGTCTTCCAAATAGATTTTCCTTGGAAATAGATCAGGTAGACACAGGATGATACATACCAAACCTCTTTTTATTGGCCATTGCACCTCACATAGGACTATCCAGGGACAAATCATTGTAACATTGCAAGTTTAARTGCTCATCCTAATCATGTTTCTGCATAATCCAGACAGGAAACAGCTTCAATATGTCAAGAACGCTAATTAAAACAGCATAAAATCAGACTTCAGCAAATATTTATGATTGATAACAGAATTTTATCTATCCTTATAATACTGTGTTCAGAACACAGTAGAAAAGAACACTGGTTCTACAGGTGATGTGCTGGTAATGAGAAAAATGAAAGAAAATTAAAATCTTGGTGAGTTTTTGCTGTGTATGGAACTGTTAGCACGTCACATAGGTGACTGTGTCTTGACAAAGGCACAGCAGTGACAAATATCTCCACAGTCTCTAAAAACAGACCTACACCTGCCATCAGAGAAATCATCAGTGGTTATCATCTGTCCCAGAAGGGAGGACAACTCTAGATTTGAGCAAGATCTGTCCAAGGTCTTCTACACCCGAAACTCATGTGGGGCTGGGCCAACTGAGCTCAAGATGTCACACAGCTGCTACTCCAAAGCTTTCTGCAGGCTCACCATAGTGGGGGTCCTTTCTGCAGGTTGACTGTAGTGGGACTCAAGACTTCAAGAGACCCTCCAGTCTGCGTGACAGAGTTAATATTCTAGTTAGGTAATAGAATAACTGATGCTCCAAATTATTTAATACTGATAAAAGTTATTTCTATTATTTGGGTATWTATTTGCAAGTGAGGAACTGTGCCTTTACAAGGCTCTAAATAAGATTTATTMATAGAAATAWAGAATATCYKGAGTTGGAAGAARCCCACAARGACCACTGAGTCCAACTCCTGGTCTTGTACAGGRCAYRCCMAGAGTCAYACCCTSWGCCTGAGACCAYTGTCCAATKGCTTCCTGAGCTCTGTCAGGCTTGGTGCTCTGACCACTGCCYTGGAGAGCCTGTTCCAYTGCCCAAMCACKCCRKTTTTGGGATTCAATTCAGTTGCCTAAAATTCAACATTTAGTGACATTTAAGATACTGTGGATTTTCCAAACAGGAGCACGGGGCTGGGAAATCTGGCACAGCATCTTCAGAAGACCCARGGCCTTCTGCTCTAGTCCTAAAACACCTTTAAGACAGTTTAAATATSATTATACATTTAGCTATAGACCATGAAACCATACTCAATGCTGTATGAATGCTCAGCCAGTGCAAAGCCAGTGAGGCAGGTTCAGATACTGAAATRAGCAAACATCAGATTCCTTGGCCCTGAGGGTCTCCTGAGCAGCACAGGTATTTCACTAATAGGGAATGGACTGGGATTCATGTCTGACCTAAAAGCTACTGAGGTGTCTGGAATGAAACCATATGATTGCACACAGACTGCTGAATCAAGCCTAAATGCATGTCATCTGAGTCCCACTGTATTTCACCCCAACATACACATGTTCATACACACGTTCTCTGCAAATGCTACAGAAAGAACATGAAGGGGTGCAGAAGCTGCCTTCCAAACATCTTCACACATCATCTTCACACAGATGATGCAATTTCTCACTGACACTTCTGCTGTAAGGTACATTGTTGGGGAGGGCTTCTGTCTTTGTCGTGGTTACAGATGTCAAACACCCTTAACAGAAAAAACGAAAAACCACATCCTCTTCATTTTTATATATATAGAGAGGGATAGATTGATAGATAAATAGAGATACATTAAACAGTGAATTAGGAGTAACATCAGACAGAAACCATGGGTTTCCTCCCTTGGTTCACCTTTGCTGCTGTCATTCTTTTAGTAATTCATGGAGGTAAGTACACAATTTAATCCTTTTGAAGGTAAGTGTTGATGTACAGAGTTYCAGTTAAGCCAACATTCATTAATGTAAAGGAAGTAGTCACTATTATTATTTGAATTCTTATAATTAGCTCTTTTCCTCTGTCAGTGCGTGTTGGATCTTTCATGCAAACAAACTAATTTCTAAATGARTAGTCTCAATTAAAGCTGCACAGAGTCCAAGCTATTTGGAGAAGTTCTGAAAAAAGAATATAATGATTATCTGATCTTTCTCTGCAAAGGCACGGATGCAGTGATTTCTTGATTTTCTCCTTTTTCTGAAAAACAGATTCACGTAATCTGACTTCCACTATAGAGTCCAGTTTCCAGGTACAGTATTTATGATGTGGCAGATCTGAGATTGAAAGCTAAAGATTTACTGTACCAGCAATCTTCAAGAAAAGAATTCTGTACCAAAGCAACAAAACTTTGGTGGGGTTTTTGCTCGAGCTCAGCCCACTGATCTCATTTCAATATTATTGAGATATAATGAAGCAATACTGCTGAGCAGTTTTAAAAGTCTGCCTCAAAGACCATTTTTGTGACATATGTACATAYTTGCATGTCTGTATACTTTCTAATTACATTAGCTGTGTTTTCTAGGAGATTTGGAGTGTCTTACAGTATTTGTTATCCCAGTTTTGCATCTTGTGGCTTATTTTTTTTAGGTTTGTGTGCAGATATCGTTGGAGGAAGTGAAGTAGCACCACACTCGAGACCRTTTATGGCCCAAATCAAGAAATCAGGACAAATTATTTGTGGAGGAGCTTTAATCAAGGAAAACTGGGTATTAACAGCTGCCCACTGTAAAGTGTAAGTTCTTACTCTGATTCAGAGGTTGTCCTTACTGAGAATCTGRTGTCTGTTCAAACAGGAGAGTTGGTAGCTCTAGTGATTTTATGCATTTGTCATGGCCATGATGATGATCATGTTCTGATTACTGCRCTTTATGGTTTCTATCAGCAAATGTGTTATAGTGAGTAAAAAAAATATTATAGGTTTACTGATCTTCACTGTTTCTGCAGAGATATTTAAAATCTTGTAGCTGCATGCAAGCACAGAATAACAACACTGAAGCAGTGAATTTGGGGGAAAGTTTTACTCCTGTTTCTCAGTCAATCAGTACACTAGACAAGAAGACTATCCAGTCTAAATTGCTGCTCTGAGAAAAATAAATTCTTCTAATTTTATTCTGCAAAAGACGCGCCGTTCATCACAGAAAGGGACTGCATGTGGGTAACACAGGAGCAAAATCCTCCAAACAGATGACAGGGGACATTGAGGGATCTCTGCCTTACTTGGTGTGTTGGCTTGCCAGCCGTTCTTTCTTCTCTTGCCCAAATCAAGATACAAATGGATATTTGGCTCTACTGAGTCCTTCAGCAAGACAAGAAGTGAGTTTTAAATTCACATCCCACCCCTACTTGTCTTTGTGGGGAGGACTGGAGCTGCTGCTGAGCCAGACCTCACACAGGCTCTGTCAGCAGCCTGACCAAGAGCAGTGAATCTCTGGGCTCTGCAAACATCAGAGAAATATATCCATCTCTCCTGTCCCTGTCCAGACAGGGGGATTTATGGGACCTACTCAGAGCACTGAGCCCAAAAGCTATGTATTAACATAAGGTAAAGAATGTTTCCAAATGAGGTTGCATTTAAGAGAAAATACAATGAATTATTAAATAAATGATGGTTCAGTCAACAGACAGCTCTCACGAAATGAAGGAAAAGAGGGACCACTTTCTCATGGCTGTGTTTTCCACACTAAGACATGTTAGAGGGCCAGCATATACATCTGCTCTAAGAATATTCTCCCATTCAGCTGTAAGATGCATTGTTTGCCTGAAACTGTACCTGTGGTCTGATAAYAGACTGGCCAAATCTGGTCTGGCTCAGACTGGCCAAGGAGTGCAACATTTCCAGTGTCTCTGTCAGAAAACCTCAGCAGGCAMAATTCTGCCACCACTTCAGGATCTTTTAAGTATGGAAAGCTGCAGAAAAAGTTAGAGAAGAGGAATGAGCCATGTCACACACAGATTCAGAAAATGGTGTTGGAATCTGTTAGATCAAGGCAATAGTACATTTCTTCATAAACAAGGTATCTCTGAACTAGCAGTGCTGTGACCTATTTTCCCAAATTTTCACCACAAATTACAGAAGGCACAGTTGGTGAGACAAGTATCTGCAGCAAATCTGATGTATCCACCACTCATTCAGTTCCCGAAAGGAAACAATAAAGATAGATCCAGAGTCTATGAAAATCCAGAGTGTAGTCTATGGTCTAGATACAGACTTGAAACCTGTCTATGCTCCTGGGAAGATGAAAATGGGATAAGCATGAATTTTGACTCACTGAGTCAGTTTTTTTCTTTTAGTTGTTGTATGAACACGGTCATCCTTTAGATATTTCTACATTACTCTTGTTTTTCAGGCACAAGAAAAGRRACTGTAGCAGATGGACATTAYAGCACCACATTTAACAGCAAAAAAWTTAGAGTTACATCAAAATTAATCCCATTAACCACCTTGTCCTCTCTCAGGGAAAAAGCCAAAGTTGTTCTTGGAGCTCATTCATTGAAAAAACGTGAAAAAGAGCAGCAGACTTTTCAGATTGCAAAATACATTCGCTTCCCATGCTACAACAGCCGTACCACGGAAAATGACCTTATGCTGCTACAGGTACAGACTCATATATCACTTGTGGAGTACACATCTCCTAATTGACCTATTTTCTTCCTTCTTGTGAGGAAGATGAGCCAAGGGATTTTCTGGTGTATTTTTTTCTGGGATGATATAATCTAGTCTGCTAATGCTGACTGGGGAACTGTGGGTGCACTGGTAACTAAGGCAATCTACAATCCTGTAATGTTTCCCAAGGCTAGTAGACAAATTCTGGAGCTTGATCAAGATATTTCAATTTCTGTCTTTTCAGTAAAAGAATAAAGATTCACAGAGATAAATCATTCAATTAAAAACCCTAATGTTCTGTTTGAAAAACAATTTTAATTTAAAATGTCTGATTTTCCTGATCCTCAATTTTGCCAGCATCAGAAACTACTGCTATTTTGAATCAGAGAGCCAGAGAAGTAAAAAAAAAAAAAAAAATTAAAGCAAATAGATCAGCAGAAATCATGAGACAAAGAATGCTTACTTTCCTCATTCTTTCAATGATGGCATAAATACTGTCACAAAGAAAGAAGGAATCTCAAAAAGAGTTTGTATTATTACCATAAGGGGGAAGATCCAACGGTTAAGGGCCTCTGTTAGACTCTGCTCCATAATACCTATTTTCCGTATCTTATACAGCTTCAGGGAAGAGCAAAACTTAATAAAGCTGTGAAAACCATCCCCCTGCCTRAGTCAGATGATGATCCCAAGCCAGGAACCATTTGCACAGTAGCAGGATGGGGGCTAACTGATAATCGTCGGGACAAGACTCCTGCTGCCTTGATGGAGGTCAATATCACTGTCATCAGCAGGGAAACCTGCAATAATAAAGGGCATTATAATGGCAAACCTGTGATAACAGAAAACATGATATGTGCTGGGGCTAAGCTTGGAAAAAAGGACTCGTGTAATGTAAGTATATTTACTATGACTGAATAAATTGCATAACAAAAATAAAGTATAATGTGCTAGTATTACACATTTAGCATTTCTGTCTGTCTTCAAATCAATGCAGAATTTTATCAAATATCAGTGAATTTATCAAGGCTTGTTCTTCTAAGCTTAAAATCAAAACTTTAAATGGATTCATTCACCTTCACAGCCTTTTGAAATTGCAGTTGTATCCAGACATGGCAGAAAGCTATTCTCATCTTCAATAAAATAAATTTAATATTTAAATRTCCATAAAACAGTTTATGGGCCYATTCTCAAGCAGCTGAACTAAGTGRAACAACTTMTTTGATGTTAGAGGACTYTGRAAGRGGTTTTGCTGATAAAAAGCATTTTGACTGGGCTCCAAGTCAAGCACACAACTGTGTAAGAACTATGATATTTTAAAAGATTTAAATATTGCATTAAAAAGCTACAAAAAAAAGGTATCAATTTCTGGAGACTTACACTTTCCATGAGGAAAGTTGTCAGCTATTTTTCTCTATTTTCAAAAAGACTAACTTCCTCAGCATAAAGCTAGATTCATTTCCTATTGCACAGACTTGAAAGGTTAGAATGAAGTCTATGAAGTCTTTGTTTGTGTGTTTTGCTCTTGGAAATCCTTCCAAGGAGGAAAGAAATATCTCTTATAACACTGGCCACATTTTCATTTTCTCCATGTAACTAGTGAAAATTTTATTTAAAGGAAACATTTTTTAGTTTTTGTTAATTTGAATGACAATATTTTCTCTTTTTCTAGGGGGATTCTGGCGGACCTTTAAGGTGCAATAATATTATGAGAGGCATCACTTCATTTGGGAAACTGAACAAATGTGGCAAGCCTGAGAGCCCTGGTGTCTACACCCTACTCACGAAGCAATACGTCGAGTGGATAAGGAAAACCATAGGGGGAGCCTAATAGATTGGGTTTGGGCCAAGTGATTTGTGCAAATGAAATAAGCTTTTAAAAACAGCTTCATTATACTGCAAAAGAGGTATTCTCTCACTGTATTTTGGCTGCTTGGTGTAATTCTGCTACCACAGCATTTATAGCTTATGCTCTCAGCCATGGAGTCATTGGGGGTATTTGGGACTGAGGATTCCAASGTCCCTATAGCACATGTTTGCACTGAGCCCTACATGGATCAGTATTGCTGGTCAAGAATATAATCCTTGTTTGTGTCCTCACTGCACATTGAGTATGCACTGTACCCTTCTGTATTGGGACTTCTGCAAAAACCCTGAAAGATAGTGACATGCTAGGTACAAGTGCAGATACCTAAAAAACTTAGTTTTTGTGCAGCAAAGCTCTGGGTTTCATTGTTGTAGTGGACTGCTAAGCTCCAGAAAATTAAGTTGTGACAACTGCATTTGACTGTGGGACATATTAAGTACCAATTTTCTAACTTTCTTGTATTTGCAACCTCTAGATTTTATCCATTTATGTACTTCGCTTTTAATAAAGAAATGGCAATAAAAATCTGCTGCTTTCGGCTATCAATTTGTGTGGAAAGCTCTGTCAGTTGCTGTGTGATATCTGTATGACCTATCTGCTATCTGTGCAATATTCTGTACAAGTAATGTTTACAAAATACTCCAAAATAAGTGGCATTACGTTTAAAAAAACATCTGAAAACCCATTCTCCTGAGAAATGACAGGAGCTGTCACTGTTCACAGATAAAACACTGTTGATAATATAAAGCACTCCTAATTTTGTCATATCAGTACTGCTGTTTCAGATATGCAATGAAATTCTGAAGTGCTTCAACAAGCATTTTTCAAGCATTTGGCAAGCAGCAAATAGAGCTATGGTGAAAAATATTTCTGCCTGCCTCTATGTTAACAGACTTGGGCATTTTCGATGACATGAGCATCCCAAAAAGGGCTTAGATTTATTTTGTATTGCTTTGAGAGGTTTTTACTTGGAGGTAAGCATTAGCTACAAGAAAGCAGGGGACACTCAAAGGGTGGAGAAATTTTGCATTGATTTTAATCTAAAAATTGTTGTTCTGTCCACCATGAGCAATTAAGCACCACTTAAAACACAACAGAAGAAAACACAAACTAAAACTTTTTTACACAACAGCCTTTACCTGATCGTGTTAAGAAGAGACAGTAGTTTTCTCATAGAGWAGTAATGAAGAGTGAGGAAGGAGAAGGCCTAAACTACAGGGATCTTTACTGAAAGTTTTGATGATGAAAAACACCTTTGTTTTCCATTTGTTACCAATCATTACACAGCTAGAACTTTCCACATTCTTTTTCTTATTCCTAAATGTTTTTTCTCACTCTTGGGCTGAACACACAAAGTACAGGAACATGATCACAAAGGGACACACAAGAACAAAAACAAAGCAGAAATAGAGAGAAAGATTCTCAGCCAAATAAGGTTCAGTGAAACTGAGAGGATAATTAGCCCCATTGACTGCTACCAACAGCCAAAGCAGTGACTTGATTCTGTCTTTAAACACACAGGAAACAAGTAAAATCAGACTTCTTCTGTTCTTAAAACTACCAAATCCTTGCTTAGGCAAAAACTAATTCTAAAAACCCTCAGGAAACAAAAATATCCTTACAAATTTGTAGCCCACCTAGAGCTATTTCACCCTTCCTATACATTAGTCTTGTTTCATTTCTTTGCTCATTTTTTCACTTTCTTTCATCCTGCTGCATTATTTCATTTATTGCATTACTTCATCATACTGTTTCCTCTGATTTTATTTCTTCCTWGGAAGTCATAAACAGCACCCTTGTCTGTAGAAAATCCCTTCCCTCTCAAAGCCTATAATTCAGTATTTCTCCATTTTCCAGAAGTATTCTTAAACAAGGGTTGGMAAATCATATAGATCAGAAGGAATGTTCTGACCAAGGAGAAGTTTACAATGCATGAAGAAATGTGCAACAGAAAAATGGGCAGCCTATTTCTTTTACCTCAAAATTTAGGATGTATCCCAAAATATTTCTTTTTTTTTTTTTTTTTTTTTTTTTGCTTTTCCATGGATGTTGTTTAGTAAATTGTGAAAAATAAGCCAGTGGAATTGCTCTTCCATGATAAAAACAAAATTTCAGCCTCTGTCACTACTGCCCATAGTGTAAACCTGTGGAAAACAACAAAAGCAACAGCAAGAGAGAACTGATTTTTCCTCTAGGTAGGAAGTTTCTCTRCTTAAGAGGTATTATATGAAGCCATTTACAACCCATTTCACCACTGTGGAACCCACACTAACTAAAAGAAAGGCTACGACAATTTGATGTCATTGTTATATATTTCATTTAACTATTTCTTCTCACTGTGGCTATATGAGGCAATTGGGKGGAATAACAGGCACAAACTGCATTACACAAAATAATGTTACATTTATATAGGTAGCATCAAGACAGAYCATATAATGGCAGAACAGGGCACTATCTGCAAGACTAGGGCTTTCAAGTGTGGAAACAAATGGATTCATCTGTCATTTCATTGTATTCCAGATGATTGTTGTATTCATATACATGAGAAGACACATGCACTGTACGAGCAGTGAAGCTTCTCCTCTTGCAAAAATTATTTTTTACCTGAAGTTTTGGATTCTATGTGTTGCACAGTGCTCCACCTTGAACAGGATTGTAGGAATGAAGATCTGTGTTAACGCAACTTAAATTTTTCTCAAACTTCTGTAATTCCACCTTGAGACTCAGTCTTCAGTGCATGGAGACCACCAATGAAGAACAAATCGACTCATTAGAAATGGGTTCTGATTTCTATCTCAGCCTGGGCCTGAGCAATATACCAGGCATGTGACTGGCAATGAGCTAGAACTATGACATATTCTACAGGGAGAAAGTCAGGATTTCAAATTTTGACCAAGACTTTATATGTTAARACCTCTGCACTGGCAGAATGAGGCAGCTATGCAAGAACAATGGTCARCTTTCAACAGCTGCACACTCTGCACACTCAGAACAAAAGCTCTCCWGTACATGTTTGATTTCATTCAATTAGTTACAGTCTGGAATGCACACTTAGATGTCTTCTCAGACATGGTCACATAACAGATCCATAGGTCACACAAATATGGTTCTCTCATTATTATGGGCCATTGAAATCAGTGGTTTCTCTCACTCTTAGATATGCTAAAATACATCTTCGGCAGTGCAGCTTGACTAGTCAACAATGAACAATAASTAACCACATGAGATGACATCAGAGCCCAGCAGCTTCACGGCAGGTTCATTACAATCTCCTACTAGGTAAAAGAAATGCGTGCTCTCTACCTTGCAGAGGTGAAGTTAGCAAMCACCTGATTTATGAACAGCACAAGATGAGGTTTTAAAAATCATGAGAACTAAAGACATGATGGTTTCACATTCATTTCCACAGATAACTTGTGCYCCTGTCTATCTCTTTCTGTTCCTTTGACTACAGCATAATTTTCCATGGACTGCTGCTGTTCTACTCCTCTAATATCTTATTGTTCCCCAGCTACAGGATATATTCTAAATACATTTTCAGTTGTGAAAAAAAAAAATTAAAGAAAGAAATCCAAACAAGACAAGCTTCTGAGCTCACAAGCTTTTAATATAGAAATGCRAGAGTGGATCCTTACCCCTTGCCTCTGATCATTGCTAATAATGAAAGCAAAGCCACAAGGATGTCTGTGGGCAGAACACACGGTGAAGAGCACCACTGATCTGTATCTGAATGGCTTCTGAGGACCGCTTCTGCAATCCTTATTTAGCTCTCAGCATTTACAAGTCTTATTTGGTCAAACGTAGGCTAAAGCCCAAAGAGTTTGCTCCTTGTGAGCACTAAATAAAATTCATGATACGGTGACAGCAGCAGAGTTTGCTGGCAGCCAGAATTGGTACTCTTAAAAAATGAATGAACWAACAGCTGTGTTTGGCCCAAACAGCATRCTCCTTTGACTATGGCCATCTGAACTTTTAWCTAGTTGATTACATAATTATGCATAATGATAGAATTATCGTGCAATTATTTATATTTTCAATCAATGTCAGACATAGTGGGTGGGCTTAAGGAAAGGAAACAATTAAAAATCCAACAAAGACAGTTTATTGTTTAATTTATTATTAATTAAGCTAATTATCATTACCGTTATGGAAACAATAAACAATTCCCAATAAATCATTCATTTTTAGTTACATATTTAACCAAGGGCTCTAGGAGTATTTAGACAGATTCTGTGATTTATGTGATGCACAGAACAGTACGGACTCTTGAATTGGTTTCTGCTGATCGTAGACTTTGAAAGATTCAAGGCAAGATACATTAATTAGTATGTGGTTATCAATGGGCATGCTATGACAATGTAAAATTCATTACAAGAATCAAAGCTAAAAGCAGAACCTAATACTTTGTGATGGCACTTTATATAAGGTGGATTCCGTCCATGTTTACAATTTAATGTATATTTATATGTTATTCTTCCAAGTTAGAATATTTATCCTTTGGGTAAGAAGAGCTACTAACATTTCAAATGATAGACTGATAAAGGAAATTTTGTTCTCTTAAATAAATTGTAGTATCTTTTGCCATGTTTCTATTGGAAGGAAGACACATATTTTGAATTATTTAATGGGCTGAATATATTAATCACTAGTTCTGGGAAAAAAAAAAAAAAAAAAAAAAAAAAAAAAAAAAAAAAAAAAAAAAAAAAAAAAAAAAGAAGGCACAAGAATGAGCTCAAATAACGGTTATTAAAAAGTCTTGTTGCTGGGCATACTCTCCCCAGATTCACATTGTTTCCACAGACAAGGCCACCTCATCCACTGCAATAAAAATGAGTCTACTCTGACCCAGGCTCAGGGCTATATGCAAGACTCTCCTCTGTGACCTGTAAAATAAATAGGTACAAATGAAAAGGAAAGATACATCAGAATCATACACTAATTATGCCAGTCATTTTCACCACCCACACTATGTGGGCTCATTCCACTTATACTGCAGCAGAGAAACATCCTTCATAGGATGTAGGAAGCTATTATCATCTATTACTGTTTTCAACTTAATAGAGGTCTGAAGGAAATATATTCTTAATAGGGAGCAGGCTTTACTGAATGCACCACTTTGAGGAGACATTTCTGTCAAAGGAACACGCTGAACCCGAACTATTGTTCTCCTTGCATTCACCACATCAGTCTCATCTGTGTTTGTCTCTCGCTGCTGAGCTTTCCCATCAGTCTGCACAGGCCTTGCAGACAGTCTGCAGCAGCTGATCCAACAATAATGAGATACTGTCTCCAGCTGCTCGGTTGTTACTGCTAAGGAGATCTTTTAAAGTGATCCTASTAAGCCGTTTAGTGGAATTGTGTTTTGTCTGCAGTTGTAGTAAAYCTCAGGAGCTACACGCTGAAGGCAAAAATCTACCCCAGTTTGGCAGCACAAAGAATGAACAAAACTCATTGACGTGATTGTACAAAAATCTCACCCACTGGCAGCCACTGAATTTGAACTTAAGGCACAAGGAGTCTGGAACTAAACAGACTGTTGAGAGCTGCATTTACCTCATTGTTCTGCCATGGACTTCCTGTATCTTCTAGAGCTATGTCAATGCCAAGAAAACCCATGTTTTTAGGYACATGTCAGCAAGAAAATTTGAAGCCTTTTTCCTTGAAGTTACTGGGCTTTGGCTTTTCTGGCTGGGTGAGTCACTGACAAGCATACTGGTAAACTAACCCCCCAAGGGGAAAATAATCTTCTGAGTAATACTTTTCAGAGCAGATCAGATAAACCACATCCTAAAAGGAAGCATCAAAGTAAGAAGTCGTGTGTGACCACCTCAAATGAACGTGAGTTACCTAGGTTTTCCCATCACTTGCACCGGAGTTCTCCATGAACACAGCAGGATGGCACTTCTCCCCCAAGATATCATGGAGATAAATATATGAGGAACTTTAAGGCCCTCTGAAACTGTGGTACCTGATTAAGGCCCACAGGACTGTTGTTGGACAGTCTGCCTTAACTTTGTGAAGCTGCTACAGYAGCTCTCTGGAAAGACTGTGATTAAATGCAAATACCTGCTGTCCTGGTGCCAAGCAACATGTGCACGTCCTAAACTGTGTGACTTGAATTTCAACACTACCTCTAAATTACTTCAGCAGAAATTAGTTTTCCAGATTTGCTCCTCCTCAAGTTATTGAAATGTACAAAATATCTGTCAATATTTAGTACCATGAGTTTACAACTCAGTGAATTCTTTACATTGTGTCCATTCAATGTCTGTAATGACTTTGAAGGAAGATCTTGATTTGTAATCTTCAGAGGTATTCGAAGATATCCATAACACAGATCAAAATTTGATTAATAGTTTGAGTCAAAAAGCAATGGAGCGCAGTAAGGAGAAATCAGGTAAGTTGATATTATTAATTTCCATGGGTTTTGAGTGGAGTTATTTCATTGTTTCAAGATCATGTTCAGGTCAGGTAACTTTCAAAACAATTATATGTTTTGCTTGCTTGTATGTTTACATTGATCAACAACTTTTCTATGGTTGTGACATTACAGGCAAAATTATTCTCTTTTTTCATAGTAACTCACTCTAATAGTTCTGTCCTAAGTATCTTAAAAATAAACTCAGTGCTACAAAGAGGTTGTTATCTTTCAGTTATCATTCTGTTCTGAATATGCTAACTGACAGTCAACCCTAATTACTAAAGTGTTCAAGTGGTACTAATGGGTCTTCATTCTCAGCTGTGTCTTCAGCATTTCCAAGAGGCTTAAACAGTAAAATTCAGTTAAAATTTACAGATCATTTCTGTGGGTGTCAAACTGATGTGGTTAAAAGTGYCTGAGGTTGACTTAGAGCCATCTCACAATCATCCATCACAGTACTTTTTCTGACCATATTTTGAAACACCCACAGTGTTTTCCAGCATTGAATTGCTGATGGTAAATTGTGAGGAGCCTTCATAAGTGGGAATATGCCTGTGCAGCAATGGTCTGGTCTTTTTGTTCATTAATAGCACCAGAGACAAAGAGCAAGGAGCAATCTCTGCCTCTGGGATAGCCCTGCAGCACCTCAAAAGACACAGAGCTACAAGGAAATTCCACTTTCTCTAGAAGCCATCAGGATGCAAGAGAAAAACTCTGCACCACATTCCTTCACATCTAAATCATCATTAAAACACAGATAGTTCTAAACAACACACAGAGATTTGCTTTAGAGATCGTTTTAAAGCTGTTTCAGTATCCTCATATCATGAGATGCAAAAGCAGTCACATCTAGTTTATGTTGTCTGGAAGGTCATCAGCCAGAACACAGGGGAAGCAACCTGACATTAGCACGTTCAATCCTGGCCTAGTAAGCCTTAGGAAGAAATGAAAAYACACATCCTGCACCTGGCATGGCCTTAGGAATTATAGAAAGGAATCCTGTCATTAAAAACAAGGAATTTCACAGAAGCAATTTATACTATGATCCTATAAGTCAGCCTTTAAAATCCAGTGGATCAGGATTTTCCACATGAACACAGAGGTATAGGGGCCTGCTCTTTACTCTTTTTTTTACATAATGTATGTTCTTGCAAAACCAGACTGATTAGACAGATAAATAACTGAAGTACTTGCCATAGAGTTTTAATGAATTGACAAACATGGGAGGCTTCCATCTTTTAATCTGATTTTCAGGAAGGCCTTGTCCTGTCATCAGTTAACTGGGTAACCAGAGCAAGGGAGAAATCTAACACAATTTAAAATTCTKCTTTAGTTTTCAGAAGGGCTTTACATACACCATTCGGAGATTTGAAATGTAATCTGCAGTGTTGAAACATGCTACTGAGAAATAGTCCCAGAAGAATAATTACTGATTTAGAAGGGTCATTTATTTAATTTTTTGCAGCTCTTCAAAGTACAGTTGCTTTGCTGTCCTACCCAAACACAGTAACAGTCTATCGGTATAACACTAAARCCCTCAAAATACATCCTCAGCTAAGCTGTAATAGCTCTGACAAATCAAAAGTTATGCTGTTCTGCTACAGCTGAGAACCTGTTCCTCTGTCTCCTAATACTCAAATCCCAGAAACAGATGTCTGTTCAACTCTCCTCTCTCCTCACCCCAACGCTCTGGGAATTTTTCTTCCCTTTCAACATTCTCTCCACATAAAGAATTTTGGCCAAAACTATTATTGCAAGCAAGGAAAGATGATGATAAGTGTCTGGCTTCAAGACTATCTCCTCTTCAATCAATTCTGTGTGGAGTCAGAAGTGGTGAATGAGAAAAAACAAACTGCTTCTAAATCACACACTGTAAGAGCTGAATGCAGCACAATTGCACATCCAGAGAAAATCCTGCTGCTCCTCTTACTGCAGAACCACCCTCAAAGTCAGTGGAGTTTGCCAAATGAGCAAAGCCACACAAAAAGAGCATAGCCTAAGTATGCAGACRTTTCATCATTTCACCTGTGGATCTGTAACTGCACTTTGGATGATATTCTGACAATTCATGTGCCAGACACACAAAATCCCATCTTTCATTCCACCTCCTGAAGCAAAGACTTTTGACTGCCAAGGAGACYAGTTCGTAGCCTGAAAAATAAAGAGAAAACAGATGCTGGAATAGATTAGGATGTTAGCTGGAAGAACACATGAGTTTAGCTTAAACCCTAGTTGTAGAAATGTACAACAAGCACCCATAATGTACACTCAGATCCCAAATCTACAAATGCTGCTTCCCTTGCCCTTGCGTCATAGTAGTCCACACTGTCCCATAAATCCTCATAAAACTCCAGCTTCTCCCCTGCCCTTTAGAAGTCACAGCCCCACAACACAGTACCAGGAGAACCCATCAGGACAGAGCCTTACTGCCCAATCCAAACCACCAGACAAGTCTAAGCAAAGTGGCCTACAGGGCTTACAAGAGCCCTCATTTCTTCTGGGGTATTTCCAGGATATCCCCAAGGCTCAGAGTCTACCCAAAGAAAAGTTTCTCAGACCTCAATTCTACCTGCTACAATGAATTTCTCTGATCCTTAAACTCATCACTTCAGCCCAGCCTTTGATCCTTTGGCGAGGACAAACAGCTTTTAAATCCTGGACTGTCCTGCCTCTTGTTACCAGCAGCTGACATATCTCCCACACAGATCTTCATAAAGATAAAGAGTCTTAGATTGTTTAATTTTAAATTTCCTTCCCCAGATCATTTGCCACCAGCAATGTCATGAAAACATGGGCAAGAAGGCTAAAGAAACCTCATGTATTAAATTAACTGCAGCAGAAATAATTCTCAAAATATTTCAATTGATTGAAATACATTGTTCGCAGATTTATAGAGTACTGCACCACCAAGCTTTTCTGTGAAGGTACATTCATAGAAGAAAATATGTTAAAGGTTATTTCTGTTTGGCATTATATTTACAAAGGCCTACTAATCCAGTACCGAAGTTCTGGTGAACTTATCTATGAGGTGAACTGGTCTTAAAATWAACTGCATCACTCACAGAAGAAACTAATAGATACCAGTAAGATAATGTAAAAAATTGCTGAGCAATAAGTCTTCTTCATAYACTTTAACTGGTTAGAAATGAAGTGTGATTTTCAGTGTCAGTGACTGCAATTTCACACCAGGGCTACTAGGCCAGATATTCAACACACCACGCCTAGGCCCCTTTTCCAGCAGCTGGTTGATCAGTGACAATTGCAGGCTGCAAAGTCTTAGTTTGTTTTGACAAAGAGTCTCAACACGGCGCTGAGCAACCTGAACATCACAGATCCTGGTAGTGAACCACTGCAGACGAGAAAAGACAGCATGGGTTTAATGTTAATGAAGATTTCATCACACCAGCATTTCTTCAGAAGCAAACCACATCAGAGTGAAATGTGTCAGCAGAACAAGAGCACTTCAGTAAGAGGAAACCCAGAACAGCTTTCAAACACACACCCTGCGTGTAGARGTGACTGATAACAAAGGATCCAAGCAGCTGCTCCTTTCAGGCTGGGCAGGATACCTGCTGTGTCTCAGATTTCTCTTCCATGAGTACCCTGCACACCACTAATCTGCACACTGTTCAGTCGCTGAGCCATGCAATGTAAACTGTTTCCTGTCCTTCATGAACAATTCTTTCACAAGGTGATTCTTGCCCAGATGGCACTGAGTTCATTACCCCCCAGCAGCCCCCAGTGCTGTGCTCTGCATTGGTGGCCAGAAAGGTGTTGGTAACACACCCAGGTTTTGGCAGCTGCTGAGCAGTGCTGGCACAGCATCAGCTCCACCGCTCCAGCATTCCCTGGGGGGCTGGGAAAGTTCTTGGGAGGGACAGGGCCAGGACAGTTGACCCAAACTGATATTCCATACCACATGACATCTGGTCAGCAAAAAACCTGAGACAAGGGGACAAAGGATGGGGGGATAGGGAGAAACATTCATTATTATAACGTCTGTTTTTCAGAGTAACTTCTGTCTTGATRTCCTCCTTCACAGAAAGTGGCCTTGGTTTTTGCTTTATTCAACTGCCTTTATCTTGACAGACAAGGTTTTTTCCACTTTATTTTCTCCCCTTCCGCACTCTGCTGAAGGCAGTGGTAGACTGGGTGCTGGGAACCTGCCATCCAGCCCGGGATATCCCACCACACCACAAGAAACAGAAAGGAATTGCCAATGTTGGCTGCATTAAGGCTCCCAGTAATTATGGTGATGTGAGTGGGAAGGAAGCAGACTCCTTAGAATATTGTTTGAAAGGAGATTTTTTTCCACTTGGCATGAAAAAAAATCAAAATTATTTGCTTTTGACACAAAATATGGGATATTTTGCTAAAGACAAAGAGCAGACAATAAAATGTGATGGATTAATTTGCGATACTGAAATTTGTTTACAGATTCATAATGATGTGTTGTTGGGCTATTTTTAACCACGATAACTACAATGTAATCCSAAAGTCAATTGACACTATGGAATTGAAACTTCCATAGTGAAGTTTAGTGTAAGAATGCTGCTCTAATTTTAGTAAAAATTAATATTAACTCCACATGKTTTTTTCTCCATATGCAGTTATTTCAACTTTGCCCTAATATTAGAATTATCTGGTTAATTTCAAACCTAGCAAAAGAAATAAATGTTACCTCAACCTAAGTGTCTACCATAACTATTGTTGCCAGTTTAACATTGAATTTTATCATCAATATCTGCTCTGGAGTTCCTGCTGCTTTGACCTCCTTGGCCCAGAGGAAATGCAAACCAGAACTGTTGTAGTAAGGTTATACCACTTGGCACTGGCAGGATGCTACACCTGCATCCTTGTAGCCTAACCCACCCAGTGTAATTGCAACTGCATTTTATCACCTGTTTGTTCAGCTGGTCTGCCTGTACCTCCTCCTATCTCCACCTTGCACACCTGAGACAATCACAGAGCATCTTGTGAAATCAAAATAAGACTACCACTAGTGTTCCTGTCAAGAAATATTATTTTCATTTTGAGTTTAACCATAAAGTCAGTCTACCCTTACCATTATCGTTCCATTTAAGTAAAACAGAAGACTATCATATGATGTTAAAATCAYAGAAGCATTCATCATAAACAAGTCTCCCCTCAGCCCCTTCATGTATGAGTCACCGATCTGAAACAGAAAGTGGGATGAAAAAAACCCACAAGAGTACATTTGTTCTTTCTCGCCTGAGCCACAGACTGAAATGGCACCTAAATACACAATATTCACCTGCTGCTCTAAAATGCACCCTCGACAATGCAAAGGACAACCACTTCATCCTCCTTGGGTTGTAGATAGCCATGAGCTGGCCTTTCTTGCAGATGCAAAGCTAGAGAGTGTGCAATTCTTCACGGCTTTGTTTTGCTGTGCATTTGAAAAGACAGATAAAGTCTTATATCAATCAGGGGGCCATATAAGCTATATACTGTCTCCCCAGCACTGGGCAGGCCATGACTTTTGAAGTCCAGCCCCACTGGAGATAATACAATTTCAGGCTTGGGCTTTGCACAAAACTGGAGTCATAGACYCCAAATTGCAGTGAAATTCTGCAAGTGATGACAGTTTTCTGAAAGGAGAGTAAGAAACAGAGACTACAAAAAGAGATTAAATCCCCTTTGGCTGCTTTCCTGTCATACAATAAATCTACCTATGATTTCTGAGATTGGTGATAGGTGGGGGAGCAGGAAAATCACATCTGAACAAAGCCAAGAAAATCAGCTAAAATTAACAGAACATTTGGCTGAGTAAAAGCAGCAAGACTCTTTCTGGGAACAGACTTTACTACTCACCTGCTCAGAATACAATTATTCCAGTTCAGAGCTCCGATTACAGACAGGTGGCTAAATACATTTCCCAGCCTCTTTCTGGTTTCAATCACAACTGCCAATCCAAAACAAACAAGAAATACAAATCTGACAGCGAGAAAAAAATTGTCCCCTTCATTTGTTTACAAGTAGGCCACTCCCAAGTTCTGAATTGACATAAGGAAAATTTCAAGCTCATTAATTTCACAAGTAAGACAATGAGTATTTCCAAATTTCAACACCTGTATGAGTGATGCTGAAGTTGGACTGGATTAAAGTGGTGTACAGCTGAGTTTWAAGTTATTTATTTACATGTCAGTACTGGTAAGTTCATACCTCCAGACTGCYGACTCATGACTGCAACAGGCAGGTACTGCTATTGTCTAGCACCTCAGCCAAAATCCCACAGGATTCTTTTGTTAGTTATACTGCCCCATAAAGCAGGCTGAGATATGTGTGCATGACCAGACTGAAGCCAAATCCACATGTGCGGAACCTATAAGGAGATTTGAACTGGACCCACAACAAAATACAGCTTGTACTGAGTAAAATAATTTAATGACAAAGTTTCTCTTACTGATGGAAAAAYAATCTGATTGTCACTGGACAAGTGAATCATTAATTCAGTCATCAGCTTTTTAGTGGTTTTAGGACCACTGCTTGTCACAAAGCAATTCAGAAAGGTGGACTATGATATTGGGAAGTTCTACAYACATTTTCAGCAGAGTTCTTCTGTACTTTAGCCAATCTTTTCCATCTGTTTCCCTAAAATTAAAAATAAAAAATCAGTATCAAATTGTCTGGTAGTCACTTCAGCTAAAAATGGAGAAAGACTGAAAAAAGGTAAGTTATCTAGTACCTGCAGTTTTCCATCACTGGTGCAAATGGCAAGTCATGTTCCTTGTTTTATCCAATGATGGATAAAATGTATCTACATTTCAAACATGAAATGTATTTGGAAATGGAATTCAATCAATGCTTTTGATAGCTTGAAAAGTTCCTCTATTCCAGAGGTGTGCAGTGGGTCCTTCAGCAATGGCAATGAGATTCTCAAGGCTCTGGTCCAATATGTTTARCTCTAGAAGAAAGCTACTAAAAATTACTGCAAAATAACAATAGGTAATAAGGTGGGGGGAGGGGCAGTATGGTTTGTGGGGGAGAGACTGTGGAAAAATGTCCWGAGAATTCTCCTATGTAACCTTTGCTGGCAAGCATTCCACTTACATAAAGAAAAGTATCTCTGACAAGCCAAGGTCTTTGTGAGTCTAATCTCCTCAAACATGTATGTTTGCACAGCAGGATCTGAGTTACAGTTTACCCACTGGAATTTTTTAATCTGTCACCCRGCATTTCAGATTGCCACATCATTCATCTTAATTTCTTCTACCAGAAATGAGGCTCCTTCTCCAGCAGACACTGCTCCAAAAACACCCTTGTTCCAAGGAAATTCTTGTGAATGAGAAAGACATAGGACAGAATCTATATGGTATCATTTGTCCACCACCCTTGAGTTAATTATGACATTTGCCTAGCACATGATAGGAAAAATGCCAAAAGTTACTAAGGAAGTTCTAGTTCTCATCTTCAGGGCTTGCTCAGCAAACGTTTGATGGGAATATTGCTTCCATTGCTCCTGATGCTGGGCACATTGCACTTGCAAAGCAAACCCCTGGAGTTATTATCTTCAGAACAACCTGCTATGTCATGTAGGCCAGCAGCAGATGGTGTACAACATTTCATGACAACCCAGGACATTCCCATTTTGCATGACACCTGAGGCACAGAAAGCACTAGCGTGATCCAAGGTCTGACATCACATTTTCGGTGACTAAAATCTCCCTGGAGAACACTGAATCCATCAGTCTGTTAAATTACAGACCTGACTGTTGCAGCAGAAGTTGTTTCCATAGTCRGCTGTTGTTGCTGCTGTCAATCTTGGGACACACCTTGTGCAGGATCAGTGTGTACCGCACCAACAAACCTTTACCCTGTTCAGAGATACACCTGAACACTTGCAAAGGTATGTTGAAAAAGTCTTCCCAGGGAAAAATAACAAGTACATACACATAAAGAATTGTTTGTTAGATTTTATGAAGTACTAGAAGAGTTAAAAATCTTCAGACCTGAGATTCCTGTGGGTTCATGTGTAACTTGTGTGTGGTTAATTTTTGCCTGCTCACCAACAAAGACGCAAATGAGAATTAAGCTGAGAAGGTGTCACCCAAACCACAAACGATGTCACTGCTGTCTTCAAAAACAAGGTATTTCTAAGTCCAGTCAATGAAACTGTTGCTGGATTCTCAGGTGACTGGCTACTAGATATCTAAGGCTGATTACTAAACAGTTAACTTAATTAAATGGAGGTAGTTCTATTCATTTGATTTTAAAGTTGTCTTGAGGTCCCTAGCTGTATGAGAATTATGTCCTGCAGTGATTCCATTTTTTGTGACAGGGACATGCCACCATCTTTCTTGAAACACACATAAAAATTCACAGACTGTGCAAAAAACACCACACAGGAGAAATCAACTTACAGTAATCATTGTATCAGGCAGTAATAGGAAGCCTCACTTCTGGCTGCAAAGGTGTGGATGGCTTCATGGTGCTGACAGCCCTAAGCTCATTTTGAGCTCTCTCTTGACATCCTGTATTTGAAGATTCACCTCACACAAATCAGTAATTTAAAACACCACCATTTTTTCTCAGGCCTAAGCCTTTCACATTCTCATTTTATTTGTCTGTCCACAGTTCAGAGGAGGCTTGAAGGGCCTACTTTTGTCCTGACTAGGTTCAAAACACTAGACACACTAGACTAGGTGAAAGCCACATTTCACCAGCTTTTTCAAACCTCCATACATTCAGTCAGCTAGAACTTAGAATAGGATCCACTATATTTTGTTTAAATTGTGCCCCTGTTCAATACAGAACAYGGTGTTTTCTCTCTTATTTTGCCTTTGTTTCTGTCAGAATCTGCTATTAGCAGAAGATTTTAAGCTCTCCCATTTCAAAACCCTCTTATACAGTAATGAACTCTTTTGCTTTCTCTATTTCCCCCGAAARTCTACCCTACCGATATCTAATCAAAGGAAAAGGTTTTTAAAACACACGCACTTTGATCACGCCACACTAAGCTTGTAACACACAGTAACAAGAAACAAAACCCAATACAAGCATGAGCAAGAAGAGCCATTCTTTGTGGTCATTGTCTACACTAGGCTGCAAAGACTCCTCAACATTATTTTTAAAAAGCCAGCTCATTACCATTTTGAATCATTTAATGTTACGTTTGTATGTATAAATAATTATATTGCCACAGAGTACAAAGCAGAATGCTAATGACCCATATTTTTGCAGTTTTCTCTGTGTTTTCATTTTCTTCTTTGAATTATTCCCCAGAGAATAGCAATTACAATGAGTCTTAAAATTTTCAGGGGCAGAATTTATCTCTACAACTAACCTTATCTGCTAAAAAAAAAGAAAAAATCAACACTGGCATAATATTTGTAATCTGTAAATTAAATACACACATACACATCCTATATGAAAGTTCAATGACAAATTGTGGAGAATATACTTCATGCAACCCTTTCATACTCTGTCCTTAACATTCCCCCCTATTCCAAATTCAAGTATGACAGACAGCAAATGTTTCCCCTCTCAGCTGTGGTACTCCTTCTCTCTGAAGATGAGAAAGTAGATTACAGTGATTTTCTTCTTTGTTTAAAATTTTGTGGAGTTAAATAATTAAGATTTGCAGAATGACCTTAGATCTGCACAATGAGATTTGTAATATTACGTTCTAACCCTAAAAAGTCTAACATCACTAAAATGAGACTTTGCTCATTGGAAAAAATTTCTAATATCTAGATTTTTCATTACTTTCGAAAATTTTACAAAGCCTTTCTGAATCCCACCAAGTAAGGTACTTCAAGAAACTGAAAGCATKTAACTGTAATATTCCATAAATGGCAACACTTCTGAAACTACAAGTATCTTTCCTCYTTAACATTGGTAGTTGTCACTGTGCAGTGAGACATTAACGTATGAAATCATCTCTGTAACTCATTTCAGGATTCACTTCTGCTGTGAGTAAATCATCTACCTCAAATTCATACTGGTTACCCTTTCAGCTCTATTCACCTACTTCATGAACGCATGAATATGCCAAAAAGGCTTTTTTCTTAAAGGCAATTAAATACTGTTATGCCTATTTGTTATTTTGCCTAGGTACTAGTAGATATCACTGACTGCTGACAAGATTTTTTCTCTCACATGCCTGTGTCAATTCTCAAAATGAGACTCCGGAAGTGGTACTGTCACATCAAACCACTCAATAAACAAATAGGAGGGGGGAATCAAACCTGGTATTCTTAATGCTTATGTTCATTTGTCAGCAAGGGAAAAAAACCCACTGTGATTTATCCCTATGCTGTTGCCATTAACTGCTCTGAAATGAGACTTATTTGCACAGAGGAAAGCAATAAAGGAAAATACAAATCTATCACATAAATGTCAACTTCTTCTGCAGGGGATGAAATCCAGATTCAKAAAGAACCCGTCATACAGAGAAACAGCCAGATCACCAAAACAAATCATCTGTCCAAGACAGAAGACAACAAAATATTAGTCTGATATTTAATGTACTGTCTCACACTCAAATATGGGAATGCCTGCATTATTTCACAGGTTATTTCTTCAGATTCCCCCTATTTTCAAACCAGTTGATCATTCYCACTCCCTTCTGCTCATTAATTCCTAGGATATTTTATGTAGCAAACTAATCAACTTACCACAGATGAAACCAGTTTGAGTCAGTTATCTTTCCCTACAGGAAAGAACAAGACTCCACCATCTCTGCTCGTCCTGCACTCTCATGTACCCAACAGTCYATACGATATGTATCCCCTGCCACCCTGCAACACAACTTTTGTAGAGTTCTGAAACAGAAAAACTGGAATGAAAGTGATGTGTGAGGACCACAGTGCATCAGATGGCAGCCAAAGGAGAGCCAGRTAAAAATCTAGAAAGAGCTGGAATGCTATTTATTCAGAGGCTATGAGAATTCCAGAAATGGCTCTAAGCAGTTAGCTCTCAGCCACTTTGCTTTATTCTGTAGCACTTGCTGGAAGCGGTAGATGCCCTTACTTTCCCAGTGCAGATGCAGACTGTGCTATCTTACTATTCTGCGTGCTGGAAAATGTTTGCTGTGTTGGACCAGGTCTTTCCAGGTGCTTCTGATGTTTTCACAGACCTTCACATCCCCACACTTTTTGCAATGCTATATCCATCCTCCAGGACCACTGGAAGCTGAGCGGGATATCTCTGCCAATACACTGAAGTGAAAACATGAYTGAAATAAGAATTCAGTTGAAAAACAAGTTTAAGTATCATGAATAACACCAATCCCATCAAAGGTCTCCACAGTCATTACATAGAAACTTCAAAACAGGCTGTTTCTGGGGTGGGAGACAAATAACAAATACAGAATASCAAATCATGTCCAAATCATTGCTCTAACTTGAGAGACTTGAGATATCTCTGCTTCCATAAAACATGGATTTACTGTTAATGATCACACACACTTTAACAAAGCTGTTTGGACAAGGCCACCTTAGCAGAGGGAGAAGATCCAAACCTGTACCTCTGCAGTTACCACCTGGATCACTTTAGTGACCCCTTGGCCTCTTCTGAACTGGCATTTGGACTAATGTTACCAGCTTGCAGTGACATTCCCAGTACGCAGTCAGTAAGTCTGTCTGTGAAGGAAGGTCAGTTTTGTGGTGCATGCACTGCAGGACAGCACGAGACCTACTGGGTGTCAGTCCTCCCTCAAACCTGGCTCACGGACACAGCCCCATTACCCCATTCCCTAAACTGGTATTACAACATTAAATGGGAAATAGCTGCAAGGTATCTCTGAGGAATAAGGTCTTTTAAATTACATTAGCATTTTCTTGGGTACCAAAGAAACAGACGATGTGGCAAAAAATTTTAAAAGTGAGATATTCATTATTATTGGAATCTTTTATTAAAATAATTAGCTTAGGCCTTTAGACAAGATTCAAAGGCTCAGATGAGCTCACACAGGACATAAATACCTTCATCAATTCCTAGTAAAATGMATTTCTCCACAATGGTCACTGAAATGAATGCTTTCATGCCAGTTTTCTTTTTGTTCTGCAATTCTTTATTTATAGTCATGTGGAAATGCAGCTGATGTTCTTACCAGCCACTTAAGATTAGTAAATTCTTTCTCYCCAATGTCTGTGAAATCCACCCTTTCACACACAGCCTGTGTTACTCTTCTTCAAAACTCTGCTACGGTCATGACAAGAAATGTCTTAGAAAAACATAACCGGAAAATGGAAGTGTTTCTCCTTTATATATTCCAGCTGTTTTACAGGAGGCCTGCAGTCTTGAGAGGTATTTTCTGTATGATTTATACAGACAGCTTGGCAGAAAGCTAATCACATTGCTTGGATCTGTGTCCCTCTAAAATAAGCGCAGACATTTCTGTGGAAAACTGATTATATATACAAGGAAGTAATATTTTGGCCCACAGATAGACCACACACACTCACTGGTATGTGAGAAGATTTTATTCTCAGTGGATCCCATTCCTTTATATTAAAGGCCAGCACAAAACAAATAGTCATTAATTACTATAGCTAAGAAGATTAGTCAATTTTCATATGGGTTTAGCCAGGACTMATTTTCAAATGGTTTTGGGAAGAATTTAGGCTTTGGTCACCCCACAATGTATTGTGCAGACCCCCATATCACAATTTAGGAGATGGTTGTGACCCTTGATCTAGAACTCTGAATACATTAGCCCTAACTCAACTTCTACTTGTAAGTTACAGTACAAATCTAGGTTTACATAAAATCCTCGAGAACCTCATGARGTTCAATAAGGCCAAGTGCAAGGTGCTGCCTGTGGCTCAGGGCAGCCTCCAGTATCAGCACAGACTGGGGGATGAACAGATCGAGAGCAGCCTGCCCAGAAGAACTGGGGTGCACTGATCATGAAAAGTTAGATATGATCTGGAAATTGGCACTTACAGCCCAAAAAATCAATTGTACCCTGGSCTGCACAAAAAGGATATGGCCAGGTGATTCTGCCTCTCTGTTCCACTCCCACTTGGAATACTGTGTCCAGCTCTGGGACCTTCAACAAAAGAAAGACTTGCTGCAGGGGGTCCAGATACTAGATGTAAGGGAGAAATTTTTAYAGTGAGGATGATGAAGCAGTGCAATAGGTTGCCCAGAGAAGTAGTGGATGCCCCATCCCTAAAAATATTCAAGGCCAGATTGGACACGACTCTGAGCAACTTGATCTACTTGAAATTGTCCCTGGTCATTACAGGGGGTTTGGACTAAGCAGGGACTTTTAAAAGTCCCATCCAAACCAAACCATTCTGTGACTCCACTGAAGAGAACAATATGTACCCATCTTCTAAAAGATGTTTCATTGTAAGAAAAAAAATCATTTTATGTACACTATTTCATAGAAAGTGCTTATCATCTCAGGAGAAAAAAAGAAGTTACATTCACTTTCTCCATTGACTAGATTCACCAAAGACTATTAAACCAATTGAGTTGTGTGTTTTAAGAGTTCTAAAATCCACTGACTCTCCAAGCAGTCAATGGAGGGGGCAAGAAGAAAGAAAGCACTGCTTTTTGAAAGGAAGATTTTCAAGACTAGTTTAATTATTAAGGAAATTAAGTGATTGTCCCAAGAATCATGTTTCCCAGAAAGATATAAAAGCATGATCTCTATCCAACATCCAGAGATGCTCAAGAGTACCATTATTACAAAGCATCATACAATGAGCCTAATTAGCCCATCAGTGCTCACATCACCTCCTTTTCTTAGAAGTTCACCTTAATATCCTCACAGAAAATTCTCAATAATATAAATTAAGGATTATAAAATGCTATTAAAAAGGGTGYTATAATGCATCTCTGAAGCAATGCTGCTCAATGGGTATGGTCAAAAAAATATATGAAAACAGCTATTAACATCTTCATACTGACTTTGAAATTGGTGCAATCCAGGGAAGAAGAGAACCAGAAAAACTGTAATCACTGACATTTGTAGAGATAGCAGTAAAGTAGAGAAGAGGTTTTGAGTGTCATATTACGGTAATATATTTTCTAACATAAGTACCAATGCTTCACATAAGAAGTCAGTGTTCAAGTTAGTGAAGAAAAAAGTGCCAGGAAAAATGAACTGATAAAATGTACAGTAATRGAAAATAACTCCTAAACAGGAAGTATTCTGAAGTCTTTGTTCCACAYATTAAGCAGATTACTTGTGTTCTTTCAGCAAAATCTGACCACCAATTGTCACAACAATATTCTCTCAAAGCTACATTTTGGTACTTTTTTTTTTTTTTGGTAATTTTTTTCACAGCCCCTTATTATGTCTACGTGACAAAACGAGCAGCTACATCCTGCAGAACTGAAGCAATTACCTTCTCACATACGGTGGTTATTAAAGCAAGTGGAAAACTGAGTCATTCACGCTGTTCATGTGTGTTTCTTACAATACATGCTTTTCCTCAGAGGTAACAAACCCATCTTGAGAGTTTCACTAGTTTAGTTTCAGTTTTAGTTTACAGGCTGATCGTTTGGAGAAAGGAGAGAGAAGTTGAAGCAAATAAATGACAAAAATGTTGCTCCTGAGTTTTCTCCAGCAGACATTACCTAAATGGAGCTTCTCATGTTACTRTTATCTGTGTCAGTAAGGTAGTTCCTCATAACTGAGTCCAGGCCAAAGGAAATGTAAAATAACCCATCAGAAAAGAAAATATCCTGTGTCTTTGACAGGTCATATTCAACCCATTCTTTTCTGTTCCAACTCTCCTGTTATTCCTTCCTCCCAAACCTGTTACAGCATAACTGCTAGGTAGAATCACAGTAGTTTTCGYGAGGGAGAGTTTCTTAGGCACTTGAGATGTTACTGGAAAAACAATTTTAATGGAAAACGTTCCTTTAAAAAGGATGCGGGGGTATATTTGTCGAGTACTTTTTAGAATAGCACTGATTGTAGAAGAGCAGTGCTCAGAAAGCGGATCTGCACACTAAGTGGGACAATGCGGATACTGACATTTGGAGCAGTCACCCTGCTTCCCTTTCGTCAGTGAAGGAGATATTTCTACAGCACTATTCATCTAATTCTAAAAGACATGTCTACACAAGATCAGGTTGATCTTTCTCTTTATAAAGAATGCTATTTACTACTGCAGGTCATGTTCAGCCTTAGGTTAATTGACTAGTTACAGAGAATCTTACTCAATAGAAAATTAATATCTGATTTCCCAGGATCCCACAAGCTTTCACCACTGCTTTCAAGGGCAGCATGCAGGACATTCTGTTCTGGGAACTGAAGATGGAAAGACTTCACGCTGTTTTAGAGCCAGAGCTTCCTAGACCTGAGCACGCATAACTGAAAAGCTCTGGTACTCTCTTTAGCAGAAAACAGATTTGCACTTTCTGATCAGGAACATACCCTGAACACTAAGGATCATCTTTTATTTGTCCAGTAAATATTCCAGTTATTAATCGGGAAGTCAACTGTGTTAAGTTCCCTACATCTTCCAGGAAGCCCATCACACACATACAGCATGCGAACCCTAYCCCGCTTTCTCCTGGCACTGATGGATGCAGGAGTCAGCGCTCTCAGAGCTCATTCGGCGTTTCATCAGCTCCCTCTGTTGCTGACGGACAGAAACAACCTCCTMTAGAATCATCTCTGCTCCACACCAGCTCAGAGTGCTGAAGTTTGATCTGCACTCTGAATGGCTCTCCAATACATCTCTTGTAAGGTGAGTAGAACGTGTCCCGGTGTCCTTTTGCGAGTACAGGAAGCCTGAGGCACTGGAGAAGAAACAGCAGCAGGCTCCTCCTGTAGTGAGTGTACCCTGCACCAAATGCAGGCCTGCAGACTGATCCCAGTCCTGCAGTTACAGCTGGGTCTGCAGGAGCTGTGTATAAGGCAAAGAAGAAGCAGAAGGACACAAAGAGAGAGGTCTGTATGAGCGCTCCTGCTGTCCGAGCTGTTGTTGATAACTTATCCAGTAGTGAAGGTGCTGGAACAGGCCCTGTGCCTGCTCACAGTCCAGTGAGTCCTTAAACCCACTCCTGTGTCCCACATCACAGTGTAAAAAAGGCTAGTCTGACAYAGGCACTGCTTGGCTAGGGATGAGACCTTCTTTTTCCTCTTTTCCTTCACCCTACTCTGTGTATGACCTGCTGCCCTTTGCTGTCTGAGTGCTGGGAAGGGGAATCTTGGGCCCAGCTTTACTCTCACGACAGCAGCATGCTCCTGATAAAAAATCACAGAATCTCTTAGGTTGGAAAAGACCTCTGAGATCATCAAATCCAACCTATGACCAAACACCACCATSTCAACTACCCCAGGGCACTAAATGCCCCRCCCAATCTTTCCTTAAACACCTCCAGGGACAATGATGCCACCACCTCCTTGGGCAACCAGTTCCAATGTCTAATCACCCTTTCTGTGAAGAAATCCCTTTTAGGGTCCAACCTAAACCTGATGGCTTGAGGCCATTTCCTCTTACCCTGTCACTGGTTGCCTGGGAGAAGAGACCAACCCCCACCTGGCTATATCCTCCTACATGTCACCAGCCTGGAACCAGGCAGGTTCTCTGATCTCCACCCAAAAAAGAACTAAGGTATCTTCTGATTTCTGAACCTTATCACCACCACTGTGGATTGCTCATATCATTATTTTTAAAGTTATCTTGTACTTTTTAATATATTAAGGCATACTAAGTAAGGTTTAAATGACTTTATTTTTAATTTGCATTTGTTCAAATTTGTTTATAGGGTTACTTGTGTCAGAAAACCATAAAACCTAAGAGTGTATCACAACTTGAAATGTAAGTGCCCAGACAATATTAAACAGATTTTTTTTTTCAGGCATATTTGATATGTTTTAGTTGAGAGAAACAGCAAGAGACACAGTTAGTATAATGGGCTTCTGGGTAATGATTACCCAGAAAARTATTTATAATAAATTGAGTTTTGTTTGTTTGTTTTATTTCTGAAATAATATTAGATGCCATTTGCTAATTATTGAGATGTAGCTTAAACATGAGGTCGTTGCATTCTGTAACCAAACACATTTGATCTTGCATTTAAGGTCAGCATTAATCACCTGCGTTTGTTTGTTGAGTACAGCTTTGTTCATTTCAGAGCAGAAACTGTGCCTTTTCTGTCCCTGCCGCCAAAACACCATGCTCACAGGCCTCACTGCCACGAAGAGATGAAGCCTGGTATGTCCTTAAATACAATTAATGACATTTCACAGTGTTTTCCAAGCATCTCTGTTACGTAGAACTGTGTGAAAGTCTCTATATAGTCTTGTTAAACTAAATTAATGTAGACTTTAGCTATTTTGAGATTATAAAAATGGTTGGACATATCACTATGATATTGTACAAATTAGTGATACTGAAGCCACTAAAATGAAGAAACAACCAGATTCCMGGTTTTGCATTCAGAAAGGCCCCTTCTATTTCCGTCCTTTAAAATGCAACATGTAAGTGCAGCAAAAAATCAGGGTGGCAAATGAACCAACTGAGACAGAAATCACTCTTCAGTGGTAGTTTGCACTGTGCAGGAAAGAGACAGTAAGCAGAGCAAAACACCACTGGAGCTGCTTGGCTTACACCTGAGACTCTCAGTTAGCCCTTCTCTCATGCAGACCTCAATCTTACCATATCAGTACAGTTCGTTGCCAGGTAGCCAGTAGCAATTAAGAAAGCAACCCATTTTCCATGTTCATCATCTCTCTCATTGCAAACAAAAAAAAAAAAAAATCCGCATTATATTATCTTCCTTTATGACAGTCTATTGCCAAGGAGCTTTTCTCTGCCCCATGTGATGAAAAGAGTTTTACACAGCTGCCCGTGCTCCCCAGCAGTGATGAGATGCAGGACTCTKTTTGTAATCAGGTTGGTTTCAGCCGTGCTGTCTATTTTCTACCTGAACAGCTGACCCTCAGACTGTTTTGTCCAAGTGTGTCTAATAACACAGCTGCCTCCTGCTGAGCAACTCTGCCAGATACACCGGGGGCTCCCCGGGCATGTGCTGGAGCTGCCCTGCAGACCCACACTTTGCCCCAGCAGCTCTCAAGACAATGTAGACAAACCCTGGAGTACCCCAGGCAGTTAAACAGAGCAATCAGCATCCTTAGGTGATGAATACACCCTTTTAATTTCTTCTTTCTCTCCGCTCCCCGACCCCTAGAAAGATCATGATACTTTACACAAGAGCTCAGAAGCCCAGCAGGCACCGTGATGTGTAACAGCTGTTTTGCAAAAGGGACARAAACGAGCAGCTTGCTCTTTCCGGTCTGAGCTGAGAGTTTCGTATTTCAGCTCCTCCTTCACATTCCAGGCCTGCCCAGGCTCCTCTCCAAAGATTTCAAAAATGGAGCCTCTCACAAGTTATCCTCTGAAATACTCAGTGCCCAAAGCCAGGGTCTTTGTTGTCTTTCTGTCAATGGTTTTGTGCACCTCCATTCTCTGCCTTCTCCAACTCAGGTTTTTTAAATTTAAAACTAAAGATTTTTATTCTTTTGAAGTCAAGGATTCACGAGGAAGGATCATTTCCTTGGAGAAGTACAGAGGGAAAGTAAGTTATTATTTCACTTTTTCTGTCTTAAATCCTTACTGACAAAAAAATGTGTACTTTTCTAGATAAATAAGAGGTTTGTTTATAGGATTTTTTTTGTCAGAAATTTGTGCTAAATTCCTGTTCTTCATACAGTAAACTGGAGAAAAAWTTTTTTTCTAGGCCTGCTCCAGGAATTAAGTATTAGATCTAATAAATCAAGGGGGAAAAATCATATTTTTTTTAGCGTAAATCAGTGTAGTCTAACAGGTAAATTGGTGGATTTTAATCTTTGTTAGGAATGGTAGCATGTTGTTTTTGGACTTTGGAATTTCTTCAAGTAAATATGATTTTAGTGCATGCCTTAAATATCTGGGTTTTTAAATGCTTATATTTAAACGAAGTTGCAAGGCTAAATTTATCAGTTTATTGTTTTGTAACAGCAGAATGTCTCAAAGTAAATATCTTCATCTGCTTTCATCGTTATCTGTTTAATTAAATTAAATTTATTTAGCCTTCCAACAGGAAAAATTATGGGAAAGAGAGATGCCATTTTAAGATTTAATTGTAATCTCTACACTATCTATAGGGTTTTTCCTTACTATTGTAACTTTATTTCTCTGAAGGCAACTTTGGTTGTAAACGTGGCCAGTCACTGCCGCTACACAGAGAAAAATTACATCGCACTGCAAGAGCTACACAGAGAGTTTGGTCCCTCCCACTTCACTGTGCTGGCGTTCCCCTGCAACCAGTTCGGAGAATCAGAGCCTGGTTCAAGCCAGGAAATAGAATCTTTTGCCAAAGGAAACTATGGAGTAACATTCCCTGTTTTCCACAAAATCAAGATCCTAGGATCAGAAGCAGATCCCGCCTTTAAATTTCTAATAGGTAACWATTTTCTTTTATGTATCAAGCTGCCTGTAACCATTGTACTTTAGTTGTATTCCAGTCTGAGATTTTGTCAGGAAATATTGTAGCCTTCAAAAACTATGGAAACAAACAGGCACTTGGCATACAATTCATCTCATTTCAATTTGGATATCAAAATCATGGGCAGGAGAATTGTATCCTGGAAGCATCGGTTTCTCCTCACTGATTGTAAAAACAGTTTACTGTGACCAACCCAGCTATAAACATCCATTTTRTGGATATTTAAACTTGAGTCCAAAAACTCTACAAAATCCCATTTTAAAGAACATGATTTTTGTTTTAAAATTATTTGTCTTRATATCTTTATGTCCATTAATGTTCTTACTGTCCTAATTTCTTAATGTCCATTAAAAAATGGACAAAAATGTAGTCATGGGAGACTAAAATTACTGGAAGATTTTACGTAATCACGTGCAGATGAGATCAATTTTTTAAGCAGTCCTACATCTGCCTTTATGTAAACTGTACTATAAAGCAGAATTATATGTACTGTAGTAATATATAACCACTGATTTGTGTTAATTTGTCATGTGAACTCTGGGGCCTAGCCTGCAAAACCCTGCATGAATACTCCTGTTACAGGGAGCACTTACAGAGTTAGAGCCTCACATTCTCACAAGCAAAATGAAGCTCTCTCTCTCTCTCTATCTCTCTATCTCTCTCTCTCTCTCTCTCTCTCTCTCTCTCTCTCTCTCTCTTCTGTTGACCAAAGAGCTCACAGACTTAAAGTCACCCTGAAAAGCCTCTCTGAACTTTCCTGAGCTCTGACCAGGTCTTTGACCCGTATTGGTACATGAAAGAAGTAATAGCTAAAACACAACCCTTTTCTAACACACCATTTTAACCAGAAAATAAAGTAACAGAAACCCCAAACCTGTACTCCATCTCCTTGCCCTCAGAGTGTATTCYGCTCTCTCACAGTGCCTCTTGTCAGAAAACTATTTCAATATCTAAATGAAATCTTTCCGAAAGTGTTGCTTCTTGCCATATCATCTATGATATCGCCTATGTACTTGAAAATTTTTATTATTGAGGAGTTATTTAAGTAATCACAATTGTAATTGTAACTGTGTTTGTTCCTACCTCCTTTAAGGCATGTTACTAAAAACATCAGGTAAATTTGTCAGCCTGAGTTGCCAGAGGTCCAGTGGAATTATTGAGTATTTTCTCTCTGTTCTTTACCAAAGAGTATAGAGCACAAAGGCACCAGCTGKGTGGGATTAATCCAGATTCTAATGTCAGTGCAATCAGTGTTAAATAAATATATATAATACCTATAAAGAAAAAAAAGTATTTACTCAGCATTTTCTTATTTGACATGCTGTTTACTTACAAGAAGGAGAAAGATCCTCTGGTACATAAGTATTCTGAAAAAATATTTTCTCTTCCTGCATTCCTGTGTTTCGCATTAAATTATTGTGTATTTTCAATCAAAGTATCTGTTTTCTTCATGTGGCCATCTTGACAATAAGAAGATTGAACATCTTCATGCTATACCACACTTCTATGCCTGTGACTACTCGAACAGGATGGCAACAGCACTGTCTGATAATCCAGTGCAAAATTAGTCCACTTGCAGCATAAATGTGGTGCCATACATCAATCTGTTGCTAAAAAAATCAGTTTAGGCTTCAGCACAATTCCCAACTGAACATTGCTTCTCCAGCCAAAATCTACCAAAGTTTTTTGTAAAGCAGCCTAATTCAGCCATCACCAGTACAACTTCTTGCTCCCATTTTATTTCCCCAAATCTGACATAAAACTGGGGATTCCCTACATGAATGTGCAGCACTCTTGTCCTCTTCCCTAGGCAGCATAGCATAGTAAAAGTAGGAACTCTTAAACAGTTTCACAGGAAGGGGCATCACTGACTTCCCACTTTTTGGGTCATTAACACACCCAGTAAATCCATGCCCAGACTACAAAGGATATGATGGGATTACTTCAGCTAGTCAAAGAACAGCATGGGGCATGGAGACAGTTCTAGGTGTGAGTAGCTAAAATTATCTGATTTCATCCTWACAGATTCTTCAAAGAAAGAGCCTCGATGGAATTTCTGGAAGTACCTTGTCAGCCCTGAGGGTAAAGTCGTGAAATTCTGGAGACCCGAAGAACCAATAGAAAGTATCAAGCCCGAAGTAACATCATTAATCAGGCAGATTATCATGAAGAAAAGAGAAGACCTCTGAAAAAGCCATTCAACATCTCGGGTGTACAGCCTCTCTGCATTCCTGGGAAATGTTGCTAGAAGTTAAAAAGGTGATTTTGCTGCTCTTCAKCATTGGTGCTTGTAATGTGTTAATGCTGCATTGGCTCCTGCAATGGCCTCAGGAACAGCTGGGGTTACTGACATGATAGGACACTCAGTACCTTGCAGAGAGGGACCTTCAATTTGCATAAGGGGATAATGTGTTTTGTTTTTAATTGCTGACAATAGTTAATTAAAATTGTCACCAGCAGGGAGATAGTTAAAAATAAGATTTATTAATAAATTACTTACACAGTAATTTACACATTTTTTTCCCATCTACCATTAAGGAAGAGATTTTTATATTTCATTAACCCATAATTGCCCCATTGTAAAACATATGGGGCCCAAAATATCCATAGCAGGGTTTCTAGAGACAAATGTAACTGAAGATAGCAGCTTTGAAATATCTTCTCAAGGAAGACTATTGAAATGTGAAGCTGTCAGTTGCAAAAAATTGTACATGGAAAATAAAATTATTAAAAGAAGCAAAAAATTGGGGGAAAAAAGTTTGTTCGCTTGCTTTATATTTTAATTATTTTAYGTTTTAATTTTACAACAACACCTTTAAACCCTTCAGCCTTCTCCATACATTTGTGCTGCAGTACAGTGCTTCAGGTGTGAGCTCATCTCCTGCTGGATTCCTTCTGTTCTGCCCTGGATGAAGGCAGGGATGCATGATTGSTACCAGAAGGATTCAAGAAGCAACAAAAATCAAGGGCCTGGCTTTCTAGCAGACATCTTTCTGAGACAGTCCCAGACAGTGCTCCCCAGCACCCATCTACCTCTCAATTCTAGAATAAAACTGCAGTTTTCAAGTAGAAGGGGATAAAGGTTCATGGCTCAAGCCCCTCTCTTCTCACCTTGTAATCTCCCCACYCCTGCATGTAACTGCAAACCCATTTCCAGTTCTGTTCCACTGTTCTGTTGCAAACTGCCAAGTGTTTTGATTTACCTGTTTGCAAAAGGGAGATAGTAAACTTGAATGAGAAACCTCACTCCAGCTGTCCATGTCTTGAAGGAGTGTAGGAGTGCTGAGAGAAAGGAAGTGAGAAAAACCTGTGTCTAAGCAGAGTCTTCTAYATGAAAAGGGCAGACAGAATTAATGCTATCTTGTAAGGCTAACAGTGATCGAAAATACCTTAAGTGCTTCAGAACTTTTTCCAATAAAGACAGACACCTAAGTGTATTGAAAAGGTGAGAAATTCAAAAGCAATTTCAAAATGAAAGAGTGATTTTTTAATTTGCTTATTGAATTCATTGAGAATTTCTCCAAATTTTTTTGAAAATTAAGTAATGGTATTGATGYGGAAGATTAAACAAAGTCACTCTCAATAATGGCAAGCACCACTTAAAGCATTACCATTTTATCCACTTAAACTTTCCAAGCCCAGTTAAGGACCATGTAAAGCTCTCATTAGACCAAATRATCCTCCTGCTAGTGTTTTAGACCAGTCTCAGCACCATTTACCATTATTCTGCAAGATTCCACACCAAATCCATGAAGGCAGTGTTTGTTTCTATGCTGAGGTCCTGCATTTTACTCGTCTCCTCTGCATGTACAGCTCCAGCCCTGAGAGCACAGAGGGGAACATGTCAGGTGATTTTCATCACACATCCCTGAGGCTTTGATGGAGGAGGAGGAGCACTGAGATATGGACCCTCTCCTTTCACTGGGAGCAGTTTACAGCCCGTGGAACTAAGTGTCAGGACAAAACATTCTACCTGTAAAAGGTGGATATTCGAAATTAAAATRCACAAATTAAAACATGCATGTCCATTCATGTGCACTGCTAGAGCTCCCTGTTTTTTGTATCACTGAATAAAAATGATGGGTATAAAGAAATGYTGGGTGCTGTTAGTGGAAGACCTGAAAAAAATGCTTATTTTAGGCGGGATACTGCCTGAGACTTACTGAGCATATGGGAAATTTCATCTGGATCCTGAAAATACTCAAGATAAACCACAGTATAATTTTCTAGTTTGAAAGGGATCAGGAGGGAAGGAAATGTGTACACCTTGTTTGTGACTCGCTCACTAAAGCTCATATTGTTTTTCAGAGGACACAGTGTAATYTTGAATGTCTCAATGCCAGCATTAAGATCAAGTGTCTTTCCTGGTATTCAGAAATAGCATGTGGTATTGGCAAACAAGTGGACAGATTTACTTAACTCACTCCTTCCTGAATCATGTTCACTCCAGAGTCCTAGGAAAAAASATTCTGTCTGAGAAGAGTCACGGAGCTTCTCCTTTCACTGTTTAGTCACAATGCACTACAACCATCTTCTGAAGAAATTTGAATATGGGTACCATTCAGTCCTGATTGAAAACAGCTTAAGTTTTCCAAAATTTACTGTTAATTAACATTCCTCAAGAAATTAACATTTCTCCTTAACAAAATCTCAGTATGTTTCTATTGCTTATATATCATGAGACATGCCAGCTCTTCCAATGTAGTATTTAGGGCAGGTCACTGATAAACGAATCACTTCTTTCTTAGAACTGTGTTACCAGTTATCTGGGATGAAAAAAAAAGAATTTTTAATGGCCAAATCTACATAAATTTTGAAAAGCAAATAAATAAAATGCAAGTCAGAATACTGTTATACAAACACCTATTTAGCTATAGTCAAAAGCCAGAAAAGTAGAATGAAAGCATGTTTATATAAATATCCACTGAGTGTTATTTTAAAATATAGCATATAAAAATACAAACTCCAAAATTTTTAATGGATTGAAACATGTGTCTTGGATTCCTAAATAATCCCCCAAATTTAAGATTAAACCACCATCCTAAAATGGTTAACAAAGGTCAGTCCATGAGTGGAAGTTATTTCATCCCCATTTGAGGATAATCCATTGCATCTTTCATCCTAGATTTTCATTCCCATCTCAAGCTTCCTTCACTCCTTAGGTCTGGCATATCCTTATTTTCTCAGACAAGTATCATTTAACTGTGAGTCTCTCTTTGCAAAAAGTTACCTGGGAGTGCAAATATTCTAAATCCATTTCAGTCACCAGAAGTACATSTTCCTGTAAGTTAAAGTACTGTCACAAAATACTTGTTTGCTGAGCCAACACATCAATGCTCCTTCAAACATTTAGTGGTGTAAGAGAAACATATTCACATAGGGTGCAAACCTGAAACTCTTACTTAATAGTTACATAATTCAGTAAGTTTTCATAAACCAGCTGGGGTAGTTGTATAACTGTGTGAAACACAGCAACTTACATTTATACTCTCTCTTTACACTTTATTTTATACCCTTCATTCTCTCTAGCACAGCTCCTTTCAGTCAGGGCAACCAGGCAGACATTGGACCAGCTGGAGACCTGTGAGATGTTTCTAGTAGTGGTGTTTGTATCCTCATGTGGACAGTGATGTGCTAATCTGACAGTGTAGCCAGTTGCTGGTGTGTGAGAGCAGCTAACTAACAATACACTGCCTGATCAGCACACTCGAGCCGTGGCTCTGCACACCTTCACTGACACAGCTGCTCCTTCCCTTCACTGTGCCAGCTACACACAGCAGCACCTGCATGAGACAATCATAACAAAGAGTTTCTTCAGCACTCTAGGTGCCCAAAGTGCCAGGAAGAGGATAAAATCAACACTCAGTTGGCTGTGGCAGTATGTGTGATGGAAGCTTGCAGTGTAATATCAATCAAAAAGATCAACGTGCTTCCAGCCTTTATTCTTCTCAGTACAGTGTTATGTCCTGTTCGCATTGTTGAGACTAAATGTTTTAATGCATTGATGTTCAGAAAATAAGTTACCCTGAGAAGCAATAAGAGTGGCAAAACTCGAAGGTTGACTTTTTTATATACATAYAATGGAAAGGTAATTATTTTTCATAGTATTCAGGAAGTTAGTGAAAGCAGCTTTAAGCCTTTTGGGGCTTTAATTACTCAATTAAAAGCAAACAAATAAACAAACAAAAAGCACCTCCCAAAGAAACTATCAAATTGCATTTCCAAATGCTACTGTTTAAAAAATTAAAATCAAAATCTTAAATGCAAGTGAAGTTTTTAATTGTGCTGCTTTTGCTTTAAAAAAAAAGCTCCCAAGAGCTTTTACCTAGGTATTTAAAAACTTCCGGTTACCTTGGTATCTAAAAGTAGGGAAACACCAGTCTAAATCAATCAAAAAAATTCTCACAGTTGTTTGAATAATGGAAATACAAAATAGCACTATAATACCAAAAATTAACCTGACAGTCTAACAAAASCAATAATTGGGAGAAACTGAAAGATTTCTTACACAAAAGCAATAGGTCTCCTTTTTGATGACCAAGGCATGTGGGAAGAGAGAGCAGCTGCATGTTAGCTGCTGTCAGAATTTCAAGCAGCCAACATACACTGCCGCCCCATCACACACAGTTTCACCACCTGCATTCCTGGAGCCAGAATCCCAGCACCTTCCAAAGGAACTGCCTCTAAACAGCAGAGAGCCAGCCCTGCAGCTGGTGACAGTGTAGCAGTGACTGCTGCGTTACCTACAGCAGTCAACTAGCAATACACTGCCTACCAGACACAGACTCCTTGCAGAGGGAGATGCCTCCTGAAATAAAATGCCTGGAAAYAGATCTTATTTTCTACTTAAATTGAGCATATTCACCTGTTTTAAGRTTTGTGTTTCATTCATGTGTATATACAACTCAAACACTGTATAGTGTCAAGGTAAGTGTCTGCCTCAGCAAGACCTGAGTAAGAGCAATAGTATAAGCCCTGTGAGGAGTTCCCAGGCTGTCCAAAAAGAGCACGGGATAGTGTGGCAAGCAGTTTCTTGACTTAGCTGTGGGAACACCAGTATGGTGTGTTACCTCCACAAGTTATTTTGTGTCATACACACTTACTCCAATCCTTTTCTTTGTGGGACCCTTCCTCATGGTCACTGTTGGAACCGTGCCCTTAAGTCTAGATGACCCTAAACTGAGAATAGACAACTTTAATTTGAAATTAGAATTATCATTGGTTACTCCATAGTGCAACTCACCTGTAGATTACAAGCCACAGCACACCTCTATTTACAGCCACCTAATGGAGAAAGAATAAAGGTTTCAGGATTGAAGGATATGAATTGAGTCTGGATGGAGGTAAAAGTTTACCTCCAACACCCATTTTGATTGAAAGTCCTTTGAAGTCACGCTGGAAAGGAGGTACTAAGTTAGACACTTTGTACAAAAGGCARTGAATACTGTATTTGAAGCATTCACTTTGTTCCTTCAAAATTGGTCTTAAATCACTCAAAACAAATCTTAACTCAATACAAAACAAAACATAAAACRTTTACTTCCTTGAGTGCTGCTGCTGTTAGCAGCCACAGAAATTACCGGGTAATTGAGTTCTTCTTGTTCCACAGCAAGAGGAGGCCACCTCTGAGCTTTCCGTGATGCTTTTTAATGAAACAATATGGAGTGCAGCTAGCAGCTGTGGACACATCAGAGACAACAGCCAGCTAACATGCACTGCCAGACTGTTACATTATCTTATGTTTTGGCAGTTAGTTCTCCTTCACCACCAACCCCAAAGTTTTATACACTCCTAGAGTTTGGTCACTGCTCACTTCAGAAACATGGCTTTTCCCATGGGATGATTCACATAAAATCTGTGTGTTGGAGCAACATTGTCAGCATGCTAGAGGTTACTTTTCTATACAGTCATTGTATCTAATGGCACACCGCTTATCTGCTGCTTCAGTGTTTTTCAGTATGTCCAATTCCATCGACACTTTCACTGCCCACTCCAACCAGGGTGCCTGTTCCAGACTTACATGGTTTTGTGATTTATGTCACCTCCTTAAGATACAAGCTGCCTGTTAAGCAATTATTTTTGTTATTAATAAGTTTCCTACCTAGGTACCTACTGTACATTTTACCACCCTCCAGAAGTGGACAAGTGAGTTTGCAGTGTCATAGAAAAGAGAGCTCTGCAAATCTATACTACTCCTTCTACCAGGTCAAATAACTTTTGCTTTTAAAGAGTAAGCAGTCCCTCTAGTGCACCCGGAGAGAAGCCCAAAGGTGGTTTTGTTTCTTCCCATGAAGAGATGTTGATTTGCCATAACTTCAGTGTTTTTCTGACACTGGGGATGCTATGCTTGAGAAAGAACGATAATAATTAACAGAAAAAAATAAAAACGGTAAATTCCGGGGTTTGATCAAATTCGCTTATTTTCTATAGCTTGCTTCTCTCCTCCTTCTTCGTCCCTCCCTCCCTCCCCCAGAAACG